TTTATTTTGATATATTTATATTATTTTTAGTAAGTCTTAAATGATATATTACATTTAAAATACAGTAGCATGAATGCATGCTATAATCGTATGCTATAAAAGTATATTTTATTTTTCAGAAATGCGGAATAATAACAGAATTGGTCTAGAACAGTGTCAATCAGGGAATAATACAGTGAGTTATAGTTATTTAATAAACATAATTACATTAATGAAGGTAGTAAATAAATCTAAACATAATAAATAAATGTAAACAGTTCTCATTTTAACGTTTTCTGTAAGAACTCAGCTTTTAACCATTTTAGTTCAAGTGTTATCATTTGGTATAATTTTTGAAACGCAAAAATACTAGAATAATTGAAAAAGCATAAAAATATTTGAATATTTTTCTTAAGTTTATGTCTAACAATTTTAGTTGACTGAAATAATACACTGAGAAAATAAAGCGTGGTTAAAACTACCATAACACGGTAAAATTTGCCGTGCTTCTTACTCTATGGGAATACCAAAAAGTTCAAAATACCAACCGGTAGTTTTTACCGTAGTGTTTCGATAATGATTTTGGCAAAATTAACAATAAAGTATGATTTTATAATATATAATATATAATTTGGTAAATTTGCAAAATATGATTATTTTACATCATGATACCTCAAATCATGGCAAAATAAAAAATAAAAACATTAGGTTAAACTTACTTTTTAGTTTTGTTTATTATACTAACTGTGTATAGTAATAAGAAATATAATTTTAGAAAACCAGAATTTCCGGTAAGCCGTCACCATTTGAGTGCAAAAATTACCAAGTGAATGGTTTAAATACAGTATATTTTGGTTTTATTAACTAGAATTATGGTTTTTATTCACTAGAAATGTCCTTACCATAGAGTAAGGTAATTTTTTCAGACATTCTCCCCCTTTTTTCTAGTAGTATTAATAAGATAACCAAATTGCTTGTGTTACTGCTACTGTGTAGAAATCAGTTGGTCAACAGATAATCTTGCTAATGTGCAAATTAACAAGGGTGATTTCTTAAAGTGCCGCAAGAAAGCAGTAAAATTGCTTGTGTTACTGCTACTGTGTAGAAATGATTTATTATACAAATTATTTTGCTAATGTGCAAGTTAACTAGAATTATTTCTTAAAGTCCCAAAAAATCGTTTCCTTTCTTAAATTAACTAAGTAATCAGCACGTATGTACCTATTGGTATTTTGATAGATTTATGAAGATGCAAAATCTGAATGTAGGAAGTCATTTAATTTTTTTTCATTATAAAAGACTGAGGCAACTCTTTGTATGTATTACTTTAAATATAGCAATAAAATAAAAGAATAAAAAATAAATAAAACATTGAAAAAAAAACAATAATATTTCTATGGATCAGCACAAATAAAGTTATAAATAAAATATTACGCTTAACTTATAAAAATTGAGCTTTTTTGTTTCGGCTAATTTTCCAGGTAATAAGTTCATTTTATATAAAGTTTATTTTCTTATAACTTTACTATGTTTTGAATTACTTTTATAGTCATATAAGAGTTTCTTGCAAATTTACCATTGATTTCTGATAAATTATAAAGGCAAATGAAAAGTTGGTGGTTTTCGAATAACAATACTAATACAAAATAAACCACCGACGTTTCATTTGTTTTCGTTAAAAAATTTATCATAAATTCCAGCAGCACATTTAAACTCAACTTTTATAAGTTATGCGCAATTTTTTCTTTATTACTTCTTCGTCCAGACCCATAAATATTTTTTTTATTTAGTGACAAATACCCATAAAATATAAATGTAACGTTATAATATGAATATTTAATATCAAATACAAAATAAACACGTGGTATCAAAGCCACGTGTTTACTTTATTTATGTAGTTTAGCACTAGAAATGCTAATTTGGTTACGTAGATCAACATACCATTCCAGTTGAATGGAAGTAATAGAGATAGGGACATTTTGAATAACTTTTTTTCATTTATTTGTCAAATTTCTTTTGTGAGGTTATCGTAGATCAGCCTCATTTGTTTACATTTTCCTGTGAATTTGCATAATCAAACTGTGAGTAGTTTAGTAGAAATTTGAAAAAAAAAAAGGTTTTTAAGTTGGTACGTTCAAGTTTTCTCTATACTATGTGTTGAAGCCGGATTAACAAATAACGCCACCTGCATTTATTCGGGAAAAAAACTTGTTTCATTGTGTCTACATAGATAGACCGATGTAATAAATGTAATAAAAGCATAAAATAAAGGCATTAGGTATGAATCCTCAATTCATTCTTTTAATTGTAATTTTTCTGAACGAAATTAATCCTTCAGCATCAACATATATGAGCTTTTTCTTAAACGAGCCACACAAAACTGCTAATAAAAAAATATTAATAATATATTAGTAACACATTTTGCTTTCAGAATTTCAACAAAAGGTCATAATATAATACAAATTATGCAGTTTTCTTTTTTTTAAATTTTGATATTAACCTTTACTTTGACTAGATTCAATTTAATCTATATTAATCATAAACAAATAGATGACTTTGTGGGGTTAGTGTAAACAAATGGTGGTTGGGCTAGTATGGACGCACCATTGGAAGAAATATGAATTTATTAAAATTGTAACACATTTGACATTATTTAGTTTCTAAATTAGAATGATTTTGTAGAATGATATACAATATACAAAAAGTTGTTTCAATCTCAAGTGAAAAATTTAGCACGGAACCTTTGTATTAATCCAGTTTTTAAAGGTTTTGAGAACATTTAATGGAGTTGTTTTATGAAATTAGTGAAAAGAATATGTTTCAATAAAGTTGGATAAATAAAAAAAACAAAGTATTTTTTATATATTTATTTTTTGTAATACATTATTCTAAAACAGAATAACCACGAACGGTCCTGTCTACGCTTTTGCGATATGTTTGTAGATTCCGTGTACTGTCCATTCAGAATATTTCATCATTAATTTAAAACTGAGGTTTTTAAAAATTTAACTTAAAATTGGCTTTCTGCTTTCAGATAAATCAAGTTGTATAATAGTTTTAAAATGTATTGGCTGTCTTTCTCAGTGTAATGAATATTGCAAAATAGTACTTTAATTATAATATGTCAGTATTTATTCTCCAGTAAGACTTGGATTGTAATTAATTACATTAATTGAGTTGTATTAAACGAGAAAATAATAAGTTATCAAGCTTCTTCCACACTAGCCTCTTAGCTTGTCCCATGTAGTGGGGCAAATGTCTGCAAAAACAACCTTTTTTTAAAAAAAATTATTATGAAAAAATAAAAAGTTTTGTAATTCAAAATATAAACAAGAATGCAGGTAAACGTACAAATTATTCTTTAAAAAAAAGAAAAAAAACACTTCATGAGTTAAAAAAGATATATATTAAATATGGTATTTTGACAAATTAGTAAAAAAAAAGGTCCACATAGTTTCCTCTACCCTGTCTGACAAATTTTGATGCGCAGAAAATCTTATGATTCTAAAAGCGGCTTCACAAAAATGTCTATCATTATAAAAGATTTTATGTTTCGTAATTTTTTTAAACGAAACAATAGTATGTAATGTCATGAAATTAAAAATAATTAATTAAAACAATTTACTTATCACATCTCTGGCTGCTCATCCTAGATCTATTATATAAATTAATTAAAAATTCGATTTCTTTTAAAATGATGTAGATCTGAAATGCAATTTATTTAATTATCATCCTTAATTTTTTTACATGTTCTTGGTCTTTTGTTGAAATTCATTATTCAAGATTTTCTTGTTGTATTAACCCTCAAAGCCCCATAAACAGATTTTCAAATAAGGAACAATAGTTTTATCTTGTTTATACATAACTTTTATAGCTAAATATCATTTACAGAGCAAAAGAAAAACTTCTAATTTTTTTTATTTAATGATCTTGCCTAGAATCCAAATCTGCTTAAGAAAGTAATTTTTAAGACTAATTTCGTATCGTCTTGACCAAAGCACTCGAACAATTAAGATCGATTCCTCTAAGTACGTTTAAATACATACTTAGAAAAAAAAAATATAGTCAAAAACTACCTGACTATGATAAAAATTTATCATGTTTCTGGCTCTATCTATAGGGACACATAAAAGCATGTTAACTTTTCGGAAACTCTTCGGTAATGACTTCAGGTAAGATTAACAATAAACTATATTTTTATTTGTTTTTCCAGTCAAGTTCCTCTGGACTTAAAAAGCACAAAACACATTTAGTTGCCAATGAAAAAATTTAAAATAAAATATAAATTAAAAACGAAACAAGAAAACCAGCGGTAGCCTTAAGAAATGATGGAGGCCAAAAGAGGTAGATCAGAGCAAGTGAGAAACTCATGCCATTAAATAAGGAATCGACATCCTCATTAACGAAACAAGATTCCCGAGCAGATTCGAGATAAGTACTAATTTAATGTAGGTGTGAAAAAATTAGGGTTTATTTTTTACCTTTATTTTTTTCCCGTATTGTAGTTGAGAACTTGATGTTTTTTAATTTTACTATTATTATTTTTTTACCAACACTGTTTTGTATTTTTCATTAATGTTTGGCGGGTATTGAATATGGGCTCTTTGTGAGCCTTTGAAACATATGTACTGCAGTAAATTGGGGTAAATTATCCGTACCCTGTGTGCATCAATCGTAAAATTAATTTTACCGTAAAATCCATTTTTACAGCAAAATTCTGTACCATGTATTTTACATTAATAATTATTCAACTATAGTGACTCGGAGATTTTGAAATAAATATTGCGGCAAAACTTACGGTATATAATGATTTTTGTTCCGCAAAAGTTTGCCGCAAAAAGTACCGGCACTTTGGATGACGTACCTCGTACTGTAATATGATGCCAAATTTTTCATCGTGTAGACTTTTTCCACCTTTAAATGTTTGAAGTTATTTCTCTTTCAAATAGTAAAATAAAGGTACCTTTTTCTCGTGTTCCTTAATTTTTTTTAATGTCTTTATTTATGTACTTATTTATTAGATATGCATGTCTGAAGATATGAAAAAGGTTCGCTGTGCAGTAACTGAGCCAATGCCACAAGAATGCGTGGATAAGATTATAGAGTTTGTACAAGGAAATTCATGTAACAGAACCGAAGTTTGATGAAATCGAAATTTAAATTGTAATTATAACTGTTGCCACCTTTTATTATGTAACATGAAATGTCGGTGAAATAAATATATTCAATTATAAAATTCTACATCTTTTTATGCAAAATATAATTCAATAAGACGCTTTTAATGTTTAAAAAAAATCATTAATCTAATGTTTATGATAAGCAGTTGAATTTCGTACCGAAAAGTTAGAATTCCGATTTTAGAAATTTTTTTAATTGCATTGTTTCTTTTTGAAGAAAATTTTTTCTAATTGAATTGGTTAAATTTATGGAAGGATCAGATTATAAACAGCCATTTATACATCCCTGTAGTCAGTAAATTATTTTTCACTTACAATGCTGATTTAAAAAATAATATTCTCATAAAACGCCTATTTGATTTGATTCGGATACAAAACTACGAATATTTTGTTAATATATATATATATATAAATCTTTCGTTCTTTTTCGTTACTTTTAATTATTAATGGTGCAATTAAATTTTTATATATTTAAGAATTCAAACAGGCTGCAACTATCACAAATTAATATATTAATTATGACGAAAGAATAAATTAAATATAACACTAAACAAAACATATTTCATTTAATTGTACACTAATAATTTTATCAAAAGAATATTAAATGAATATTGCAAAAATTTCAGAAAATAGCTGTCGAGCTAACCGTGGGAAGTTTTTGAAATTTTCCTCACCATGTAACGCAAATACAGGTTAGTTACCATTACAAAATCCTCCATGAAGACTAGTTTCTCACAATGCTTGATCTGGGAGTTACCTTGTCGTCGCACGCGGTTAGGGGCGCTTCTCTATTATGACCTATCCAGGAGCACACGAAGGAACAGCTCATAATAGGGTTGCGCCCTTGGTATGACGTATGACAACAACTCTGGGCGTGGATTCTAATGAAATTTTTTTTTTAACTTTACATCATATCTTTGCAAACGATCTGTGTATGTTGCTGAAATACTACGTTATTCATTAGTTTTGATATTTCATCTGTAATATCAAATGTGTTTGTGATTGTCTCTCATATAACTCTTTGTTCCAGTTCTCTGAAATTAAGACAGAGGTGAAAAGGATTAATTATAGTTCATGATCCAAACAATTGTTCAAAAATTTTAATTGACCGTTTGGGAGAGACGTTTAAAAAATGATATTTTTCCATATCAATTAGCCTTTATAAATAAAATTTTAGACCATTTTGTTTTATTAAATGTTTAAAGATAACATCGGGGTTGTTTCCTAGCTTATAGCTTTCATAAACAATTTTTATTATTTAAAAAAAATAGTTTATTGCACTTTTTTTAATGTTTAGTTGTTTTTTATTCTTTATGTCTCAATTATTAACAAGAACGTGATAGTATAAGTGAACTACCTCACCAAAAGTGTGTTCCATTAGTAATCTGAAACCAGGTGTTTATTTTTTTCTAATGTTTGAAACGTATTACTGTAAAACGAAATTATTTTGAATGAATGGTAGTTTAAGTAAAATAAATTAGGTACTGAAACGTAAAATTAATGGAGAAATATTTTTTTTCGTTCAGAAGAAAAGAAAAAATTTGTAATACTTTTTATGACGCCAATGATGCTTATTTGATTTTGATAATGAGTACTAACTGAAATTGAGAAATAAGTTATAGACTAAAATGCAAATTTAACTGAGAAATTCAATTCATTCGTCTACGACAGGGGGGGGGGCAAACTTGTTTTGATGAGAACGAAAAAACGAAGGAAAAAAGTTTGGTGGGCCAAGTAAAATCTTCCAAAGTAAAAAAAACGATATGCAAGTTTTAATTTAAATATTTAATGAAATGAATGAAATTGCGATTTCATTTTTAAAAGTTCTTTATATTGAGGTTCCAAGTGAGATGTATTTATTTTAATGCTCAAGGTTGAATGTTTGCTTGTTAGTCTACTTCTGAAATGATTTTTTCAAAGGTTTATAGTTGAAAACATTTGTTCACATATATAAGATGAAGCAAACATGGCACTGACTTTCTGGGCGTGAAATATTAAACTGGGGAAACAAGGTTTTGGTAATGATTTGTAAAACTTTAACTTTGGCATATTTAGAAACAACTGCTTCAGATGGTTCTAATCTACGGCTATTCTATAAATAACGTTTACCTTCAACATTATACCAATTGAAGCTGCCCATTTACATCAATTTATGTTTAGTACAACAAGAATAGAGAAAGTAAAAAGATCATCAATGCTTTGTTAAAAAAATAAGAACGAAAATAACTTTAAACAAAGTAGACAAGAAAATGGGCGTATATTGTTTATATTAATCGTCACGGATCGGCAAGTTAAAATTCTATACACGGACTGGATAAAACCTTCAGACGGGCCACAGTTGACCCGCGGGCCGTAGTTTGCCCATCCCTGGTCTAAGAGAAAGATAAAAAATTGCTGTGTTGTTACTGACACTGATGTTTAATTAAATTTGGTGAAGGCAATGTTGGAATCATGCATATTGGTGCAGTTTTATTATAGATACCGTTGAAAGGAGTTTTTCATGACCCTACGAATAAGTACAGGCAAAAACCACCTGTTTGTGGTACATTTTGGTGATTGTGAGTCTTCTTCGTTCAATAACATTTTTATTTGAACCGACCGGACTGTAAGGGTAGTAGTACTGTGTGTGTAGGGGTCAGGAAACTGGCCTTGCATCAGAAAGGTTCTGGGTTCGAATCCCAGGCATGGCATGGATGTTCTTTCATTCTCTATATTATCTGTCCTTCCTGAGGGTGCAACGATGGCCCACTTAATATGGTGCCACTAAAAGTGCTAACAAATCTGCCCTGTAAATGTGTGTATTGACGAAATGTTAACACAGGTGTACATTGAAGATAAATATAATTATAGAAAAATTATTTTTGGTTTTTCTTTATCTAATAACGTAAAGCATGCGAGAAGGACAAATAATGATAATAAATAAATAAAAATGAAATTATTCTAGCTGTATTAATTGTGTTTATGTATGTCTTTCAGATCTGTACATGATTTTGAACTCTTATTCTGTATTGAATTAATGATCATTTCCTTTTTTTTTCACCCCGTACTTAGAACGGGTATCCAGCTACTAATGCAATAAGATCTACGTTTTTTCATCGGCAATAATATTTCAAACTCATTATTTGGATAGCATATATTATTATGTTACTGTTTCAAACTCGTGCGAAATTAATTCAGGAGAAAACCTGATCAATAAATTCTGAATTTCTGAAATAATATAAGAATTGAACTTATGAAGAAGTCGCAAGTAAAAAGTTTTTATTTGTCACTTCAACAAGTGTATCAAACTATTATCCAACTATTATCATTTGCTTATACTCTTAATCTTACTGCTTCCTCTTACGCAAAAGAAGAAGAAAATTTTTTACAGCGCGTGTCTAGAAGGTTACTGATAACGTGTTGCTTCGACAGAGCGTGTTGCTAATAATTTATAGATGTATCAGATACGTTGCTGGAAGTATACACACGGCATCGATCTATTGCTATAAAAAGTATACTTTTGCATGTTTCCTTCTGCTTCGACATGAAGTGTTTCATATTTACCGTTTTATTGATCACAGTGGTAATCCTTGTAACAGTACAAGGTCAAGGTGGTAGTCCTGGTTCTCCTGGAGCACCAGGTACTCCCGGTTGCCCTGCTGGCCCAGGAGGGGCCGGAAGTTCAGGAGGCACTGGTGGCCCAGGAGGCACTGGTGGTCCAGGAGGCACTGGGGGCCAGGGAGGAACTGGTTTTCCTAATCGTGGTTCAGGTTGTCCAGGTGGACCAGGAGGGGCCGGTGAACCAGGAGGTGCAGGTGGTCCAAGAGGAGGTGGTGGTACAGGAGGTGGTGGTGGAGGAGGAGGCCCTGGTTCTCCACCTGGTAGTCCTGGTTCTCCTGGACCACCAGGCAGTCCAGGTGGCCCTGTAGGTCCGGGAAGCGCCGGAGGTCCAATAGGAGCTGCTGCTCCAGGAGGCACTGGTGGAATGATCATGCTACCCTTGTATCCAGAGTGTGCCATTTATGCGAAATTAATGCACGATATGTTTGAGGGTAAGTTATTTTAAATACGTGTAAAAATGATTTTTGTATTGTTTAAGATTGGAGCACTTTTAAAGTTTCAGTAAATAAAATAAGAAATAGCTTATTACGTAGCAGCAACTGTTTTTTATGTAATATGGTTGGTAGAATGCAAAATATAGATGTCATCATTGTGCAGAAGTCACTCTAAATCATGTAATGTAAAACTGGTTAAGTGTTTTCAGAATGTAAAAAATAGAATTATACCTAAGTAGCGGTTGCATTTAATCTAAGGATTTATGTAATGTAAAATTAGTTAATTGTTGGAGTACAAAACGCACAATACATCACGATGTAAAATGGTTTAGTTGTTTGATCTATCTTTATTTTTATTTTAGCTATTTGGTTCTGACAAATATTTTTCATAAAATTTAAATTTATGTATTAAAATAAAACAATAATAGATTCGATTCTGAAATAATATCAGATATTTTTTGAATATTTTTGTTTGTTTCCAACTTAAGTTTGGCAACTATTCTGGAAATGTCAAGGATAGTGTTTCGAGCTCACGGAGAACCTTATTTCTAAACATTCCTGCCTGATTCAAGTTCAATGTTATGTACAATGCGCAAAATAAAAACTCGACCTCCCTGAGTAACTTTTGATCTAATGAAGGTATTTTCAAGGTCTAGGACTCAATGGTTAGAGGGGTGACCTAATTAGTGCAGACGATGTTTTGAGTTACGAAATCAGGCACAAAACAGTACTTTCTCTGAATAAATACTTATATTTTTTCTCGATGAATGTGGATTTCCGACCCCCAAAATATAGGGGCTAGGCTGGGATATATGGTTAATTTTGTCGGGAGAGAGGTTGAAAGTTTGGACCCCTTGTTGTTTATTTTCCTTTTTTGATTTCGCCATATTTCGAAAACTTTCTAAGAAAATTGAAAAAATTTTGCCCACAAATATAAAATGAATTTAACCACTGATAAATCCACGCAAAAAAAGTAATTTTAGTAGGCCTTTATTATTTTTTATTGTTTTATTAAATGGCAGTGGGAAAAAATTCTTGAATTGTAAATTATGCAACTTTTGACTTTATTTTAAAGAATGTATTTCTACGTGACAAATTGGAAATTTTGAGCACAATCGGTCTAATAGTTCCTGAGAAACCGAATTCTAAAAATACGACTTTTTCAAAATAAGATTTACTATAAACTATTTTAACGATTTCGCTCAAATTTTGTTTTGTCCCTTAAAATAAAATTTTTTGCAATGATGTATTAAAATATTTTGCAGTTTATATATATTATATTTAATGTTGGAAGCAATGTTGGCCCACCTAATATGGTGTCATTGAAAAAGCTAACAAATCTACACTGTATTGACGAAATTGACTTCTGTATAGACTAAAAAATTATAAAAAAATAATTCTAGTTTTTTTTTATCTAATAACGATAACCATTAAGATTGTGATGAGAATCATTCGTGAAAATCCGATCATTAGATCGAAAGGTATTTAGGGAGATATCTTTTTTTTTTTGCGACTTTACATTGGAAATAAATGAAATTATAAAAAAAATATTTTAGGTTTTTCTTTATCCAATAACGTAAAGCAACCGAGAAGAACAAATAATAGTAATTAATAAATAAATAAATAAAAAGGAAATTATTCTTGCTGTATTAGTTGTGTTTAGATATGTCTTTCAATTTTGTACATGATTTTGTAATGTTGTTCTGTATTAAATTAATGATTATTTACTTTTTTTTCAACCCGTACTTAGAACGGGCATCCAGCTAGTAATGTAATAAGATCAATTTGTTTTCATCCGCAATAATATTTCGAACTCATTATTTAGATAGCATATATTGTTATATTGAACTTATTAGGAAGTCGCAAGTAAAAAGTTTCTATTTCAAACTTCAACACGTGTATCCAACTATTATGTTTACATTTGCTTATACTCTTTATCTTACTGCTTCCTCTTACATAAAAGAAGAAGAAAATTCTCGACAGCGCGTGTCAAGAATGTTACTGATAACGTGTTGTTTCGACAGCGCGTGTTGTTTATAATTTATAGATGAATCAGATACGTTTTAGGAAGTAGACACACGGCATCGAGCTATTGCTATAAAAAGCATACTTTTGCATGTTTCCTTTTGTCTCGACATGAAGTGTTTCATATTTACCGTTTTATTGATCGCAGTGGTAATCCTTGTAGCAGTACAAGGTCAAGGTGGTAGTCCTGGTTCTCCTGGAGCTCCAGGTAGTCCAGGTTGCCCTGGGGGTCCAGGAGGCGAAGGTAGTGCAGGAGGCGCTGCTGGTCCAGGAGGCACTGGTGGTCCAGGAGGCACTGGTGGCCAGGGAGGAACTGGTTTTCCTAATTGCCCTGGTGGTCCAGGAGGGGCTGGTGGTGCAGGAGGTGCTGGTGGTCGAGGAGGCACTGGTGGTCCAGGAGGCTATGGTGGCCAGGGAGGATATGGTAATCCAAGTGGATCTCCCGGTTCTCCTGGACCACCAGGTATTCCAGGTAGCCCTGTTGGTCCAGGAGGTGCCGAAGGTCCAGTAGGAGCTGCTGCTCCAGGAGGCGCTGGTGGATTGATCATGCTACCCTTGTATCCAGAGTGTGCCACTTATGGTAAATTAATGCACGATATGTTTGAAGGTAAGTTATTTTAAATGCGTGTTAAAATGATTTTTGTACTGTACACTTTCAAAGTTTCAGTAAATAAAATAAAAAATAGCTTATTACGTAGCAGCAACTTTTTTTATGTAATATGTTTGGTAGAAAGCAAAATATAGATGTCATCATTGAGTAGAAGCCACTCTCAATCATGTTATGTAAAACTGGGTAATTGTTTTTGGAATGTAAAATATAGAATTATACCTATGTAACGGTTGCATTTATTGTAAGGATTTATGTAATGGGAAATTAGTTAATTGCTGGCGGAATACAAAACGTAAAATACATCACAATGTAAAATGGTTTAGTTGTTTGATCTGTCTTAATTTTTATTTTAGCTATTTGGTTCTGACTAATTTTTTAAATATAATTTACTTTTATGCATTAAAATAAAACAATAATAGATTCGATTCTGAAATAATATCAGATATTTTTTGAACATTATTGTATGTTTTCAACTTAAGTTTGGCAACAATTCCGGAAATAGAAACTTCAAGGACAGTGTTTCGAGCTCACGGAGAAGCTTATTTCCACACATTCCTGACTCATTCAAGTTTAATGTTACGTACAATGCGCAAAATAAAAACTGGTCCACCCTGAATAGCTTTCATCTTATGAAGGTATTTTCACGTTCTGGGACTCAATGGTTAGAGGGATGACCTAATTACTCCAGACGATGTTTTGAGTTACGAAATCAGGCACAAAAGCGTACTTTCTCTAAATGAACATAATTATTTTTCTTTCTCGATGAATGTGGATTTCCGACCCCAAAAATATAGGGGCTAGGTTGGGATATATGGTTAATTTGGTCAGAGGAGTGGGCAAAAGTTTGGACCCCTTAATGTTAAATTTCCTTTTTTGATCTCGCCATATCTCGAGATCTTTTTAAGTAAATTGAAAACACTTTGCCGACAAATATAAAATTAATTTAACCATAGACAATCCCACCCAAAAAATGAACTTCGGTAACACTTTTCTGTTTTTTATTGATTTATTAAATAGCAATGGAAGAAAAATTGGATTGTAAATTATGCAATTTTTGGCAATTAAATAAATTTAAATTATACAACTTTTATTTTAAAGAATGTATTTTTACATGACAAATTAGAAATTTTGAGCTCAATTCGTCAAATAGCTCCTGGGAAATCAAATTCTAAAAATAAGACTTTTTCAAAATAAGATTTCTGATAAACTATTTGACCGATTTCGCTCAAATTTTGTTTTGTCCCTTAAAATTAAATTTTTTTTTAAATGATGTAATAAACTACATATCTTGCAGTTTAATATATTATATTTAAATATACGAATTTTATAAATTTGTGCGACAATTTTTCAATTCGCTTAAAAAATTTCTCCAGATGTTGTGAAATGCGCAAAAAGTAAAATTAACATCAAGGAGTCCAAACTTTCGACAGCTCTCCTGATCAAGCAACTGGGACCCTATTTCTGAAATTCCGGACAGCCCGTATTTTTCGGGGGTCGGAAATCGAATTCGTCAAGAAAAAGTTATGTTTATTCAGTGAAAGTGCGTTTTAGTGTCTAATTTCGTAACTTAAAATATCGTTTATTATTCGGCATATTTGAGTTCACCCCTTTGAGCCTTTAAGAGTAAATTCTAGAACGTGAAGATTCGATCATTAGATCAAAAGTTAATCAGGGGGGCTCGCTTTTTTGTTTTGCGCTTTAGTGGGATAATGTAAAACATGCGTTTATACATTTCATGACCTGCTACATTAGGCTTCCTAATTCATTCTCTCCGGACTGGGTAATAATCTATGGTGAATAAAACATCTTGTTGCTATTTTACATTCCACAATGCTTTTTTTTCCCTCCTAAATATTAATTAGAGAGAATGTGTATGTTTCTTTGACTATTTTGACAAAAAATTTTTACATTTAAGCGAAAATAATAAAATAAATAATTTTTCACTTAAAATTTTTGCATTTTAAGAGAAAATATTAAAACATCTTACATTTATTTTGACATATTTATGTTATTTTTAGTAAGTCTTGAATGATATATTACATTTAAAATACAGTAGCATGAATGCATGCTATAATCGTATGCTATAAAAGTATATTTATTTTTCAGAAATGCGAAATAATAACAGAATTGGTCCAGAGCAGTGTCAATCAGGAAATCATACAGTGAGTTATAGTTATTCAATAAACGTAATTGCATTAATGAACGTAATAAATAAATCTAAACATAATAAATAAATCTAAACAGTTCTTATTTTAACGTTTTCTATAAAAACTCAACTTTTATCCATTTTAATTTAAGTGTTACCATTTGGTAGAATATTTAAAACGCAAAAATATTTTAATAATTGAAAATGTTTGTATATTTTTCTTAAATTTGTGCCTTGCAATTTCAGTTGACGCTAAAGAGACTGAGAAAAAAAAGCGTTTTTGATGCTACCAGAATACGGTAAAATTTACCGTGATACTTGCTTGCTCTATGAGAATACCAAAAAGCTCGGTAGTTTTTACCGCAGCGCTTCGATAATGATTTTTGTAAAATTAACAATAAAATATGATTTCATGATGTATAATACATAATTCGGTAAATGTTGCAAAATATTATTATTTTATATCATGATACCTCAAAGCGTGGCAAAATAAAAAAAAAATAAAAACTTTAGATTAAATTTACTTTTTAGTTTTTTATATTATGCGAACTGTGTAGTCATAAGAATTATAATTTTAAAAACCAGAATTTTCGGTAAATCAAACCAAACGCGCGGTAAAATTACCAAATGAATGGTTTAAATACCGTATATTTTGGTTTTATTAACTAGAATTATGGTTTTTATTCATTAGAAATGACCTTACCCTACAGTAAGGTAATTTTTTCAGACATTATTTCCCCTTTTTTTGTAGTATTAATAATGTAACCAAACTGCTTTTTTTACTGCTACACTGTACAAATCAGTTATTCTACAGATAATCTTGCTGATGTGCAGATTTACTACGATGATTTCTTAAAATACCGTAACAAAGCAGTAACAAATTGCTTGTGTTAATGCTACTGTGTAGAAATGATTTATTCTACAAATTATCTTGCTAATGTGCAAATCAACTTGAGTGATTTCTTAAAGTCCCAAAAAATCGTAAAAATGTAACACATTTGACGTTATTTATTTTCTAAATTAGAATGATTTTGTAGAATGATATACAATATACAATAAGTTGTTTCAATCTCAGGTGAAAAATTTAGCACGGAACCTTTATATTAATTCACTTTTTAAAAATTTTCAGAATATTTAACAGAGTTATTTTATGAAATTAGTGAAAAGAATATGATTCAATAAAGTTGGATTAATAAAGAAAACAAAGCACTTTTTAAATATTTTCTTTTGTAATACATTATTCCAAAACAGAATAACCACGAGCGGTCCTGTCACCGCTTTTGAGATTTTTTTGTAGATGTTATCCATGTTATCCATTTCGAACATCATTATCAGTTTAAAACTAAGATTATTAAAAAGTTTACTTAAAATTGGCTTTCTGCTTTCAGATAAACCGAGTTGAATAATAGTTTTAAAATGTATTGGCTTGCTTTCAAACTGTATTTCTCAGTATAATGAACAGTACAAATTAGTACTTTAATGATAATATGCCAGTATTAGAGCCAGAGAAAATAATAAGTTATCAAGTTCGGTCTCACTAGGCTCATAGCTTGTCCCATGTAGTGGGCAAGTGTCTACAAAAACAACAATTTTCTAAAAAAAATATTATTAAATAAACAGTTTTGCAATTCCAAATATGAACAAGAATGCAAGTAAACGTCCAAATTATTCTTAAAAAAACACTTCATGAGTTAAGGAAACATATTAAATATGGTATTTCTATAAATTAGAAAAAAATGACCGAATAGTCCCCTTTCCCCTGTCAGGCTAATTCTAATGCGTAAAAACTCTTATAATTCGAAAAGCTGCTTTGCAAAAATGTCATTATAAAAGATTTTACATTTTTAAATTTTTTAAAAGAAACGATAGTAAGTTAAATCATGAAATCAAATATAATTAATTAAAACAATTTTTTTAACGCTTCGCTAACAGCGCTTTCTAGATTTACTACGTAAATGTATTAAAAATTCGATTTATTTTAATAATTTTAAAATAAAACTTTTAAATTAAAACTTCGAGAGTAATTTTAATGACTAATTTCGTATCGTCTTGACCAAAGCACTTGAACAATTAAGATCGATTCCTAAGTACGTTTAAATCCATATTGATAAAAAAAAGTATAGTCAAAACTACCAAAATAGGGTAAAATTTATCATGTTTCTGGCTCTATCTATAGGAACACATGAAAGCATGTTAACTTTTCGGAAACTCTTCGGTAATGATTTCAGGTAAGATTAACAATAACATGTCTTTTTATTTGTTTCTCCAGTCAAGNTGATTTGGCACCCAATGACTTCTTCTTATTCCCACACATCAAAAATAAATTACGTGGACAACGATTTTCGACCCCCGAAGAAGCGGCTGATGCATTCAAAGCGCATGTTTCGGAGTTACCTCAATCGGACTGGAAAAAGTGCTTTGAAAATTGGTTCAAACGCATGCAAAAGTGTATTGATCATCATGTAGAATATTTTGAAAAACAATAAAACCAATTTCGATCCGACATATTTGTTTTTTCATTATTAGGCCAGAAATATAAATAGCAACACTCGTATGAATTGATATCATTGAGAAAAATAAAAACAAGGTATGGTGATTGTGTAGTTGTGAAAATAGATGCGGCACTAAATGAAGTGAAAGAATATTTTCTAAAAAAGAAACATGGAGAACTTTCGGACAAAGCAATTCAAGAAATAAATGAAGGTGATTATGTACTTTATTATGAAGGATTAATTGATGGAAAATACATATATCCTTTAATGGAAGGTTACTTAGGGGATTTACTACAAAAACAATTAAATCAACAAGTAGACTCGATAGAATTAAATCAGCCAAAACAATTAAATCAACAAGTAGATTCGTGCGCCAAAGCGTGGGCCAGGCACAATCTAATAGGAAAATAAACTTTTTCTATAAAAAAGTGTTTTTATCATTTTATATATATTTAATTAAAATATTATAATGCAGTATATAAAAATTTACTTTTTTAATCACTTTTCTTTGAATTATACAATTTTATTAAAAACTGTTTTCGTGCGCGAGCGTGCTCCAAGGTGTGCGTGAGGAAGTGCTAGGACCAAAATAGAAGAAAAAGGTGTTTTTATCATTTTATATATATTTAATAAAAAATTAAGTTTTTCAATCCTTTTTAATCAATTTTCTTTCATTTTCTTTGAATTATACGATTTTATTAAAAACTGTTTTCGTGCGCGAGAAAGTGGCCCAGGATCCCTATATTTATACTACTTTTGACATTATTTAGTTTCTAAATTAGAATGATTTTGTAGAATGATATACAATATACAAAAAGTTGTTTCAATCTCAAGTAAAACATTTAGCACGGAACCTTTGTATTAATCCAGTTTTTAAAGGTTTTGAGAACATTTAACAGAGTTGTTTTATGAAATTAGTGAAAAGAATATGATACAATAAACTCGGATTAATAAAGAAAACAAAGTATTTTTTAAATATTTATTTTTTGTAATACATTATTCTAAAACAGAATAACCACGAACGGTCCTGTCTACGCTTTTGCGATTTGCTGGCAGACTCCGTGTGATGTCCATTCAGAATATTTCATCATTAATTTAAAACTAAGGTTATGAGAAATTTTACTTACAATTGGTTTTCTGCTTTCAGATAAATCAAGTTGAATAATAGTTTTAAAATGTATTGGCTTGCTTTCAAACTGTATTTCTCAGTATAATGAATAGTACAAATTAGTACTTTAATTATAATATGCCAGTATTTATTCTTCACTAAGACTTAGATTGCAGTTGATTGCATTAATTGAGTTGTAATAAACGAGAAAATAATAAGTTATCAAGTTCGTCCGCACTAGCATCATAGCTTGTCTTATGTAATGGGAAAGTGTCTGCAAAAACAACCTTTTTTTTAAAAAAAAAATATTATTAAATAAACAGTTTTGCAATTCCAAATATAAACAAGAATGCAGGTAAACGTCCAAATTATTCTTAAAAAAACACTTCATGAGTTAAAAAAATATATTAAATACGGTATTTTCATAAATTAGTGAAAAATAGCCGAATAGTCCCCTTTCCCCTGTCTGGCTAATTTTAATGAGCAGAAACTCTTTTTATTCGAAAAGCTGCTTTGAAAAAATGTCATTATAAAAGATTTTGCATTTAGTAATTTTTTAAAAAGAAACGATAGTGAGTAAAATCATGAAATCAAATATAATTAATTAAGACAATTTTTTAACACTTCTCTGACAGCGCTTTCTAGATATACTACAGAAATGAATTAAAAATTCGATTTATTTTAAAATTTTTAAAATAAAGCTTTTAAATTAAAACTTCGAAAATAATTTTAATGACTAATTTCGTATCGTCTTAACCAAAGCACTTGAACAATTAAGATTGATTCCTAAGTACGTGTAAATCCATACTGAGAAAAAAGGTATGGTCAAAAACTACCTGACTATGATAAAATTTATCATGTTTCTAGCTCTATCTATGGAAACACATAAAAGCATGTTAACCTTTCGGAAACTCTTCGGTAATGACTTCAGGTAAGATTAACAATAAAATGTATTTTTATTTGTTTTTCCAGTCAAGCTCCTCTGGATTTAAATTGCACAAAACACTTTTAGTTGCCAATGAAAAAATTGAGAATAAAATCTATATATATATATATATATATATTTCTCTTACACGGCGACAGAAAAAAGCCTCATTACAACTCCCTAATGGTAACGCTAGAAAATCGATCAATGATTGCCGCTAAAAATGTCACATGCCAATTCTAGCTGAGGTGGCTCATCATATAGCGCTTTTGAAAACGGAATCTGAAATAACAATTCAGCTGAGGCAATCTCATACTATTAAGCTGGGCAGAAGTGAGTAGTCTTTGTCGATAGAACTCTATTTTAGTATTTTCTCGAAAGCGCTTTTTTTCATGAATTTATTTGACGATTTTTGATTTATATCACGAATTTATTTGTTTTATTATTGTTATTAGTTACTCATCGAAAAATGAGTCTCAGTCAATAAGTCTTCATTTGAATTGAAATTTATTTTAATGACTTAGTATTTGCTAAAAAGATATAATTTTTTTTTAAAGTTTTTATATGGATTTGAATGATTGTTTTGAGAGAGAGGTAAATCAGAGCAAGTGAGAAACTCATGCCGTTAACTAAGGAATCGACATCCTCAATAATGAAACACGATTCCAGAGCAGATTTGAGATTTGCATTAATTCAACGTGGGTATAAAAAATTTCGTCTTTGTTTTACACATTTATTTTTATTTTATTTTTTCCTAATTATAGTTAACAACGTGACGTTTTTTTAATTTTTTTATTTTTTAACCAACTCTGGTTTGTATTCTTCATTAATGTCTGGTGGGTATTGAATATTGGTTCTTTGTAAGCATTGTAATAAATTACAGATCGAATTGCGGTAAATTACCAACACCCTGTGCTGTGCGCATCAATCGTAAAATTAATTTTACCGTAAAATTCATTTTTACAGCAAAATTCAGTACCATATATTTTACATTAATATTTATTCAACTATAGTGACTCCGTGATTTTGAAATAAATATTGCGGTAAAACTTAACGGTATATAATGTTTTTTGTTCCGTGAAAGTTTGCCATAAAAAGTACCGGCACTCTAGATGACGTACCTCGTACTGTAATATGATCTCGAATTTTTCATCGTGTAGACTTTTTCCACCTTTAAATGTTTGAAGTTATTTCTTTTTCTAATAGTAGAATATAGGTACTTTTTTGTCGTATTCCTTAATTTTTTTTAATGTATTTATTAATTTACTTATTTATTAGATATGCATGTCTAAAGATGTGGAAAAGGTTCGCTGTGCAGTAACCGAGCCAATGCCACAAGAATGTGTGGATAAGATTATGGAGTTTGTACAAGGAAATTCATGTAACGGAACCGAAGTTTGATGAAATCGAAATTTAAATTGTAAATATAGCTGTTGCCACCTTTTATGATGAAACATTAAATGTGGGTGAAATAAATGTATTCAATTATGAAGTTCTACATTTTTTAATACAAAATTTGCTTCAATAACACACTTTTAATGTATAAAACTTCGAAAAAATTCATTATTTTAATGTTTATGATAAAATTTTATCATAAACATTATCATTATTTTAATGTAGTTGAATTTCTTACTGAAAAATTAGAATTCCGATTTTAATTTTTTTTTTAATTATATCGCTTCGTTCTAAAGAAATTTTTTTCTAATTGAATTGGCTGAAATTACAGATGGATCAGATTATAAACAGCCATTTATACAACTGAGTAATTGATTACATTTGTATTCGCTTATAATGCTGATTTAAATATAATTTTGTCTCGAAATAAAATGCCTATTTGATTTAATTCGGATACAAAACCACGAATATTTTGTTTAAAAAAATATATTTAACTTCATCGTTACTTTTAATGGTGCAATAAAAATTTTATATATCTGAGGATTCAAACAGGCTTCAACTATCACAAATTATTATATTAATTATGACAAAAGAATAAATTAAATATAATAATAAACAAAACATATTTCATTTCATCGTACCTTAACAATTTTATCAGCTGTCAAAAGAATACCAAATAAATATTGTATAAATGTCAGAAAATTGAGCTACCCTGTTTAAACCAAACCCAGTGCTGACATGAAATGGTAAATGGATCATTGGTCAGAGTCCACTAGCTGTCAAGCTAACCGTGTGAGGCTTTTGCAATTTTCCTCTCCAAGTTAAGCAAATACAGGTTAGTTCTATTATAAAGTCTTCCACGAAGGCCAATTTTTCACAGTGCCTGATCAGGGAGTTACTTTGTCGTCGCACGCTGTAAGGGGCACTTCCCTATTATGACCTGTACTGGAGCACACGAAGGAACAGTTCATAATAGTTTTGCACCCTTAGTATGACGTATGACGACACCGTATGACGACAATTCAGGGCATGGATTCTAGTGAAATTTTAATTTTAACTTTACTATGGAATAATATATTTGCATACGATCTGTGTATGTTGCAGAAATACTACGTTATTCATTAGTTTTGATTTTTCATCTGTAATATAAAATGTGTTTGTGATTGTCTCTCTTATAACTCTATAAATCTTTGTTCTAGTGTTCTGAAATTAGGACAGAGGTTAAAAGGATTAATTATAGTTCCTGATCCAAACAATTGCTCAAAAATTTTAATTGATCGTTTGGGAGAGACGTTTAAAAAATGATATTATCCCATATCAATTAGCCTTTATAAATAAAATTGCAGACGATTTTGTTTCATCAAATATTTTAAAGATAACATCGGGGTTTTTTGCTAGCTTATAGTTTTCATAAATTGTTTTTATTATTTAAAAAAAAATAGATCATTACACTTTTTTTAATGTTTAGTTGTTTTTATTCCTTATGTCTCAATTATTAGCAAGAGCGTGCTAGTATAAGTAGACTATCTCACCAAATGAGTATTCCTAAAGTAATCTGAAAATACGTGTT